CCTCGTCCACCGCGGATGCAGCCGTGCTCAAACTGTCGTTGGTGGTGTTGACCGGTGGCTGAGGCGAGGCTGCCAGGACGTGACCGAGGAGCTCCATGACTTTTAGTCACTTCTTCTCTGGGATTTTTCACATTCCTCTCGTCGACAACATCGCCGTGTTCTCCGTGCCGCCTTGGCACGTTCGTGCATCAGCTTTCCGTCAGCAGCTGCAGAGGCTCGGACCAATTATCCATGCCCAACACGTAGTCAAACTTTTCCATTTTTTTCCCTCAGCCTTAAAACGAATCCTCCTTCACCAGCTGCCTCCACGACTGTCAACGCACGACGATGTCAGTGCGTAAATGTTGAATCGTGCGTCCTTGTGACGTCTGAACATCTGGGCAGATGTCACAGTTAATCCGCATGCAGGGCACAGTTGCGCTGCGCTGCGCTGCGTCTCCACTCAGTTTTCCCTGTGGCTGAAGTGTGAGCCAACCCAAAGTCTGGGTTTTATACAGACTCTGACATCAAACAAGCACCAAGTGATCAGTCTCTCTCTCTCTCTCTCTGTCTCTCTCTCTCCCTCTCTCTCTCTTCATATGGACAGTTGTCGGCCTGCTGGGTCATAGTGCCCAGTGTTTCTCTCTTATCAAATAAAATCTCACCTTGAGGTTATGGACTGAAACGCCCTCCATTACCAAGAATCCTTGTTTTCTAGAAAGACGACAGTTCAAAGTGTAAATGCATGTGTTTAAGTCTTGTCAGATCTTTTTTTTTTTTTTTACCAGTGTAAAGACAGATACACAAAAACGCAGCACTCGTGCAAATGTGTAGCAATGAGCACGTAACGTATACAGTGTGGCTGAAAACCTCATCTGCACCTCCCTCCTTTTGTAGCATTTTACAGAAGAACCAGCAGCTAAGACTGTAGATGTTTTGAGAACTTTCACCCATAAAAACTCAACAAAACTTATCCCAGAATCCAGCGCTGACACTTCCTAAATACTTTACATCCATTTCTTAAACAATGTATCTCCAGCACGTCAGCTCAAACGCTCCGTATACAGGCTATGAGTCACCCTTCAAAATAAAAATTTAATAACCGCTCACAAACTGTCTTGAGCAGAGGAGTTCAGCGTGAAACTAAGAGTCTCCAATTACCTGAATAGACTGCTGTAAATCTTATTCAGAGTTTCTTTTTTTTTCTTCTTCCTTTCAGGAGTTAAATTTCATAACCCAGCAATGAAACAAAGTGATAAAACTTATTTGATAAAATCTAAATAACCTTACTGTTGTCCACATGCGGTGTGTCAAGGTAACTGATGGCCTCGCTGATTCCCTCGGCCATTTATCACTGTAAAGAAGAGCCTTCGGTTTCTGCTTAATGGAGACCAAACTGAAGAGAGCAGCAGTTTAAATGATCTGGTAGATTTGACATTGTGCGGTGTTAAACGTTCAGTCAATAGTGTGCACATGAACTGTGTCAATGTAGACAAGTGTACGATTATTGTGAGGTTTTTTTTAATCAGACATCATCATTATCAGTGAATATTCTCGCACTATATTTGACCTTAACCTAAGTGATGATAAATATTTCCGTCCATGCGTATTCCTAATTGGCAGCGAGGCCGAGAATCGTTGAGCGATGCGAGAAGAGTTCATATTAATAGTCTGTGAGCAACGCAACGATTTTGCATGTGATTAATGAAGCTGTCGGCCGCAACTTGCAGCCCTTTTCTTACACTTAAACATCACGGCGTTATTAGACGTGACACAATAAAGACGCGTCTGGCGACATTTTACTGCGGGACGATTTAAAATAATGCCAAAGGGGCTGAGTCCCTGTCACCTCTGGCGACTTGTGATGTGTGAAAAATGCTGAATACTGACACAAGGTCACTGCCGCTTGACTCCGCGAGGCTTCAGTTGTCTGGCACTCATTCAGTGCATAATGTCGTGTCATGCTCTCAAGGTCAGGCTCTCGTCCTCACTCTGAGTCGTGGGGTGGCGACGGGCCAACCGTCTATATTCAACAGCCTGATTGTTTTGGGCGAAATTAATTTCTACTCTTGTCAACGGTGGGGAAATGAAACCCACAATTCACCTCGCACACACGTGCACTGTGAGCGCGCGCAGCACCGTCGCTTTTAAACTGCAGGAGCTAAATTACTCCCATGGAATTAATCTGCAGTCGTACAGACGTTTGCTTTAATCTCCAGCGACTGCAGTGATCATGACTCTTATCTTTAGCTTTTCATCATCGTAGCTTTTCTTCATTTCCTCGTGTGGAAGTTTGTTGTGAAATTGACCTGTCACTGTCGCTTCGGGAACAAAGTTAACTAGATTGGTCACATACAGTCATGGAGTTAATCCCTTCCTTGGCATTGAACCCATTCCTGGGGAGCAGTGGATGCTCTCAAGTGCCCACGGCACAACAAAGAAATGATTTCCCTTACACCACAGCAATGGTTGGATTTGAACCTGCGCTCCTCTGGATACGTGCCCATCCTCTTACCAGGAAGCCACAGGCTGTCCATTAGTCCTCAGTATCAGACGAGGCTGTTTATAATGTGATTTCTGATCGTTTCCAAGTAGTTAAGACCATTTAAATGAGCCTTTTGGGAATCGATCCCACAACCTTCTGGTTTTAGAATAAATGTGCTGTCCTAGAGCCAAACACACACACACACACACACACACACACACACAAACAATGCACTCAATACAGAAAAGAGATTAAATGGTGACCTTCCCGTTGTAAGGCAAGAGCACTAACCCCCCCATGCACTGTGTCAACCTTAACTCTATTGAATTAGTGTAAACTGTTTTAGAATGCGATACTACAATACTGGAAAAGTTTACCATTTGTCACATGCCTGTGAAATCACAATAAATGAATTGTTGTGAACAACAAACACAGATAATTACTATTATTTTCTGTCTTTTATTCGAGGTGTGATGTGATTGCAATGTCTTCATTTAAAAAAAATAAAACATCTATTTGTCTAAACCCACACAGGCGGCCACAGGAGGCGCCATTAGGTATGTGATTCCTCTGGGGCTCAAACCCAGGACCTTATGAGTGTAAGGCAAATGTGCAAGGCAGGTTTAATAACTGCTACACTAGGTAATGATAAAAAAAATAAGGTTGCATTTCCATGCTGGGAGTCGATCCCAGGCCGCCTGGTTAAAAACCAGGAATCTAACCAGTAGACCATGTGGCAGTAATCACACCAATGTCAGCCAATCACACGGGAGCCTTTCCAGCTCAGGCCAATAGGCAGTTGGCCATTTTATTTTATTTTTTTCTTAAAGTTTACCACTGTTTACCAACAGTTCCTAAATTGGAGCTGGATCAGAAAATGCATTTGTCCTTGGTTATAAAGTAACACCGTGGACTTTTTAATTGTGATCCACAAGGACGTGAAGGTACGAGACTGAAGTTTAATGGGAAGAGAGGTTCTCCATTGACTTCTGTTATTTAATAATTCAGATCACTGTGAATCCATACCCTCGGACATTAGATAAGAGCTGACGCTGAGGAGCTGAAAGTCTCCACTCCAGTGTGTGTGTGTGTCTGTGTGTGTGTGTGTGTGTGTGTGTGTGTAAGCCAACAGCTATTTTTGCATGTTTTCACAGTTACAGGCAATTTACAGTTGGTGTTATCTAAAGGCAGTCCGTCTGTGTGTGGACTGTAAAGATGGAGCGTGCTCTAATGAATAATTATGGTTACTTAGTTAATGAGCCGGTGGGGAGCAGGCACGCTCAGAAAGGGAAAGTCTGACAACGTTGATGGAGAAGAAGAAAAAAACATAGATTTTCTACGTCATTTGTTTCATGAAGCAGTTCATTTGAACGAATACAAATGCACGTTCAGGACCAAGGACAGCGTCTGGTTTGCTCCGCTCTCCTCTCCTTTCATTTTTGCTTCTTTTCTCTCCTTGCCTCTGTACTCTATTCAACTCTGCTCTCCTATCTAATCATTTCCTCTCCTCTGCTCATTTCCTCCCTGGTGTGTGTCTGTGTGTGTACCTCAGCTCTCCTCTCCTCTCCTCTCCTCACCTCTCCTCTCCTTTCCTTCCCTCCTCAGTTTTATGATCTATACTTTCATCTGAGTATTAGCAGTCACAGTAGAGTCGTTAGGCAGCACCGTAGCTGAATGCTAACCAGTGCTTTAATGCCAGCGGGCCATATTGTCAGTGAAACTGTCAGACAGAGAGGAGTTAGGCTCCATGCTGTTTGAAAACACACAGCAGATCAGTGCTGATGGAAAAATAAGTGTGAGAACATTTCCCAGAATTTCTGTGAAGGAATTACGAATCTTGTTGTTTTTTGTTTGTTTTTTTTAGCTCTTTCCTGAAAATGGCTTTTGTTTTCAGATGCAGCTTCAAAAAGGGCAAAGAAAATCTCACTACAGCAAACG